GATTTCAATTAGACATTCTTAGTAACCAGCAGTGATATTGGACAAACTAATACGCGTTTGGGTATAGGTGCGGGCGGAGCTACGTCACAGATCAGTAGTCACGTGACCACCAGCATAACGCCGGTGAAAACAACTCGTGTGCGTGTGCGTGTGAGTGTGTCACTGTGTGTGCGAGTGCGTGTGAGTGTGAGTGTGAGTGTGTCACTGTGTGTGTGGTGTGCGTGTGCGTGTGCGTGTGCGTGTGCGTGTGCGTGTGCGTGTGCGTGTGCGTGTGCGTGTGTCTCACTGTGCGTGCGTGTGCGTGTGAGTGTGTCACTGTGTGTGCGTGTGCGTGTGTGTGCGTGCGCATGTGTAATCTTGGACTTTGTTTTTGTTGCACGAGACCTGGGGTAATTTTATTCAACTAATGCAAAGCAAACAAATAAGAATAGCTTAAAATATTTTATATTTGCAGTGCATATGTATCTTACATAATGTCATAATTATAGCTACAGAAAGGCTATCTATATACTCGTAAGGCATATTAGAAGAAATTTCATAAAAAAAAAACTTATTAAAACTTCCAATTAAACCAAGTGACGGATAATTCGTATCGTTATGCAGTAATCCTATGAGCGCCAGTGACGCGATCGCACACGCACACGCATACGCACACGCACACGCACACGCACACACAAGGACATGCACACAAACACGCACACGCGCACACGCACGCACGCACACGCACACGCACACGCACACGCACACGCACACGCACACGCAGTGACACACTCGGACGCACACGCACACGCACACGCACACGCACGCACACGCACATGCACGCACACGCACACGCACTCACATGCACACGCACACGTAGGCACACGCACGCACGCACGCACGCACGCGCGCACGCACACACATACGCAGTTATAAAATAGTAGTTACCTGTCACGAAATGATCAGAACAAATAGTGGAGAATTTTGACGGACTCCAGTGCGTACCATTTACATTTACTCATTTACTCATTTACATTTAAGTGGCAGTCAGCCACTTATGACTTAATTATCACGACTCAAAAAAATATCTTTTCTTATCTGTGCAATATATATGATTGTGACAACCTACTACTACCCAAGTTTTCGGCATATATGCAAGGAAATTAATATGCTTTTGGTTTGGAAATGGGGTATTGCGTATGTAAGCTCACAGAGACAGGCTGTTGTTTTCACCGGCACAGCTGGTTGCTAGGTTAAGAAAGTCCCGGATGTGGCAAAGTTCCCGTATGTCCGCCCGCACCTATACCTCCTGTCGCATATATACAGGTGACGTAACCGCCCACAACCTTATTCTCATACGCTGTACAAACTTCACTGTCGACCCCATTTGGCCACACGTAACTAAAACCCAAACGTAAACCTCCCCATGCTTTATCCTTGCCCACCTTAACCTCATACACTATTCCCACTCCACCTTGTCTACATTAATTCTCTTCTTTACCACGCCGCATTATTGTCTTGCTGTATATTTCACTGCAACCAGGTGTTCAGTCCTATTTACACGAATAATGAATTTGTTCATGCCGTCAAACAGGCAGTGTCTATACATACAGAATATCTATATACAAATACATATATTTATATTTAACACTGATGGTTTCCTATATCATGCTTTATAGCATTCACGAGATAACATATGGTGCTTTAATAGGAGATATTTCTACGTCTCTACCAATTATGCAGGAGTAGGCCCCCTATTCCACCACATTTCGTTTGTTTTCTGTAATTTCAACAACGTGTGGCGAATGACTATGATTTCAAAAACTGTCACTCAAAACGAATTATAGATACTCCTCATCATTGTTTTGAATGACATTTCAAACACTATTATTACGCCATAGCAATGTCTAGAAAGTGGCTGGCAATTTTTCGTCTAATGCTAGCTGTAGTTAGACTGTTATTGCTTTGACGATTGGTTTAATGAAATATACCCTTTCAAAGGTATGGACTGTCGAGAATAATAAAAAATATTGCCATTGAGGCTTAGAAACTAATCTGCCAGCCGCCATATAGTGATTTCTTTATCCTAATACTATACCAACCATACTAGCCAACACGATTTCAAGCGATCTGTTTCTCCGTCATCACACTGCTTCGAAGCCATCTCCACTGCAAGAACCTGCTTCATTAAGATAAGCATGGACAGCACTGACGTCGACTAAGCCCCCCCCCCACCCCGCTTCCAGAAATGAACGCAGAAAGAGACGAACAATGATGCAATATGCAAACGTATTTCGCGCATCTATTCGGCCGGCTTGAGCGTCAACTGCATGACGAGGGTATCGTTGACGAGCATCGCCGAGTCCGGCTCCATGAGCTCGTGCAGCGTCACCTTCTTGTCGATCTCCGTGTCGGCCGTGTAGCGCGTCTTTGAGAAGTTCTTCTTGCCGGTGACGGTGCGCAGCAGCTTCGTCTCGTCGGTAATCGACAGCATGAACTCGACGGCCCGGGGCTGGTCGAGAATCACGTTCGAATAGAGGATGCAGCGGAAGTCCTCATTCGTCGACGAGTAGCCCTTCGGATAGATCTAGGTAAGAGAGAGAGAGCGCGAGGAGCTGTTTAGTATGGAAGGTGTGTGCGGCGGTTACTAATGGCGAAATTTCGGCAGTTGTTGTATGCACGGTTTCGTCGTTCCAGTTCATATTTGTTTTTTTGTTGTTTTAGTTTGCGATAGCAGTTTGTAAAGAAGGGTCGATGACTACCGAGGGACAAACGTAAAGCTAAATAGAAAGATGAGATGGACGACGCAGATAACAAGGACGACGGTGAAGGAAATGGAAAAATAATTAGAATAAGAAACTGGAGCAGGAATGGGGGAGGAGGAAGAGGAGGAGGAGGAGGAGGAGGAAGATGAGCAACAAAAACAGCAGCAGGAGGAGAAGGAGGAGAAGAAGGAGGATGAGGAGAATGAGGAGGAGCAACAGAAGCAGCTGGAGGCGGAGGAGGAGAGGAAGAAGGAGGAGGAGAAGGAGGAGGAGGAAGAGGACAAGGAGGAGAAGGAGGGGCGAGTAGGAGTAGGAGAAGGAGGAGGACGAGGAAGACGAGGAGGAGGACGTCAAGGATGGAAGAGCCGGTAGTGATGTGTGTGATGAGTAGGAGGAGGTCTGACATAGCGCAGAGTGCATGAGCTCCCCTCAGGGTAACTTAAGGTCGTTATACAGTGCTCAAGAATGATGAATGACGCTACAAATCACTACGGCGAGCCATTAAAGGAGCCTGCAATTTTGACTAACTTTTTGGCATTTCCGCCTTCGTGAACATTATGGTCACACGAAAGTTAATGGCCCGTAAATATAACTTGTAAATAAGCCAGGTCCATTGTGCGACCGGAAATGCCCGTTGTACTACTGTAATTTTAAGGGGGCTTTTTCACAACGAGAGCATTAGCGTTCTGATTCTGCGTCATGGAAATTGCTGGTCCAAGCGGGAGAGCTCAATGGCGACAGCTGCGCGATCAAGACTAGTTATTCTATGGGAATTGGGATTTCAGGTTAACAACATTTCTTTGCGCACGAGTATAGTGAGTACGTTTGCCTCTTGTTTTAGGCGCATATAAGCAGCGATACTATTTCTTTGATCGCTCGACGTACCTTTAATTCCCAATCCCACGTCTGCGACGGAAACGACGATGACCTAGTATTTAGTCTGACGACGACCTCACTGCAGCGGTGTAGCTGGCTGTAGTTGTGGATGGTGACGCGGCGGTCCCACCGCAGCTCCGTGTAGCTGCGTAGCAGGAAACTGCGAAGTAAAATTGTCTCTGTGTTTTATTCCACACACTAAACTCTTACATTGTGAATGTTAACGCTGACCAGCAGCAAACTTCGATGTTCTACCAAATGCGGCGGCACCCGCGAAACGTATCAATATTCGCCAGATGGGGGTTTACTGCTCACAGTAGTTGTCCCGACAGAGCTTCATACCCCGTACAAAGGCGAAGTACAAAATTAGTTGAAATCCATATTTATATATTTTTATATATTTATATATATACTTACCGAGAGCCTGTGAAGTCCTTGCACTGGACTCTGCTACTAAGAGACAACGCGTGGAACTTGTAGGCGGTGACCAAGTAGGGCATAACGATCGGTCGATACTGTTCAACGACCTTACTTTTCTCTACGTCGCAGAGCTGGTCAGCGGTCATCATGGGAAAGCGAACGTGTGGCAGCAGATCCCTCAGTAACCTCTCCTGAGTGCGAGGTAACGCGAAGATGCGACGCATGAGTGAACAGATAACGTTTCTGCTTTGAAATCAGCTATTTACTAGTAAAATGCAGTGATAAACCTTTCACCGAAGGTTGGAAATAATCCTCCCAAAACGCGTAACGGCTTAATTGCTAATTAAATTACAAACTCATTTTATCTATATAAACGCCAAATGGGGACATTGTGATTACCAAAGACCACGGCGGTTTGAACGCATCTTAGCACACTTCAATTACCCATAATTAGGATTAGTTAAATTGTACCATAATGGCGAGTACCATTTAAAGACGATTCCCGTGTAAGGAGGTCTAATAGGTCGCCAAATTCCTTTCACGATTACTGACGGTCGCAGCTTCACAGCAAGACAATAATGAAAGAGTTGTCCTCTTAAGAAAGCGAGCGTAATCATTATTATAGAGCCGTGACGACAACATCATATACTTCTGCTACACCGTCATCTATCTTCGAGTGGTAAGAGCCAGCAGTCAGTTAGGTGTATGTGTACCTGATTGAGCAGGCGCGTCGGGTGTAGGGGTGTCTGTAGCCATCGCAGTACGGCCAGCCACAGCTCGTACTCGTCCTTGATCACCAGGTCCGAGCTGCTGAGGAACTCGACCAGCTGGTCCTTATCGAGGTTCATCCACTCCGGCTCCCATTCTGTGAATCCCCAACGTGAGACGTGCGTCAGAAACGACCGAAAGCGTCTCGCGGTACAATATAGTCAGGCGTGTATAATATAGAGATTATACACATCTATACAGATCTATATTAGACACTCTTGATATAATCACGTCTGCTCGTGTTTGAAGCGCGTATGGAATTTCTTTCTCTTTTCCGACGCAGAAATTCGAGTAGATCTAACCTGATATTAACTGTAAACATGTTGAACTTTAGAAGGCCTAGTTTATATCACTTTACTTAACATGTTCTATGCGATTCTGTGTTGCTATACGACAATCGATTTTTTAATAGCATAGATATATTACTGTTTGACAACGAGACAAAAGAATGGTTTGTAAAAATCACGTGGAGAAAATGTAGACATTTCATTACATGCAATCGAGAGCATATCCTTACCTCATGCACGATACGACATAGGATGCCTTTTTCTATGTCGGATATACGTAATGACAAGAGCGAATAATACCTAGAGCTAATAAGAGGTATTCTTATCTCTTGATAAGGATATAGTGATAATAACACAATGACATGATGATACAAATAGATATATGTAATACCGAGATTTTAAGGGTTACGTAGAAAGCATTTTGCACCTGCCGATGCCTCTCTCTATGGGAATGTTGGAAACACAAAGACCGAGCGCGTATGATCGATCACTTTCGCGTTTTTCTCGATCTGTGAGTCATCGCATCGGCACTCACCAAGCGAGAACGTGATGTCATCCATCTTCTCGGACAGAGCCTGTATGCAAGAGTTGATCAGGTTCTCGTGGTAGCATTTGGTCGCGTACTGGAACCATATGTGGAACACTTCCTTCAGCTGCAGCTTGGGAATGATATGAGAGCACGCAAACGCAATGCACACCTGCGGAAGATGACAACGTGACGTCACTGGTTTACGAGTAGTATCTGATATGTGTCTGTGATTGACTTCTTCAGGGGCTCAAGAGTACGCCGGAGCGACCATGGAAAGTCATGGCGTCTAGTAATTTTGGGCCATTGGAGACAATGTTTTGTGAATTTTCATTGAATGCGCAAGTATATCATTTTATATATGCATATATATATATATATATATATATACATAAGGTACCAGCTGAAGATCTCTATTTCCCCTATTGCTTTATAATAAATCATTGCCTTGCGTTTTGAATCCCAGTATGAACCTGACCTCTGATGGACGAACACTTCACGATAAATGCGTTTAAGAATTCCAACAAGGATATTCGTTATACTATTTATTACCGATATATATATATATATATATATATATATATATATATATATTATATATTCTACTACCATCCATCGCACCATCCGATCCATCCATCCATGCCATCCATTCCATCCAGTCCATCCATCCATCATCCATCTATCAATCAATTCCATCCATCCATCCATTAGCCAGTCAATCCATATATCCATCCATCCATCCATCCATCTATTCATCCATACCATCCATCATCAATCCATTCATACACATCATCGCATCCATCCATCCATCCATACCATCCATCCTCCATCCATACCATCCATCCAATGCCTCCATCCATCCATCCATCACCATCCCATCCATCTCATGACCATCCATCCTCCATCACCATTCATCATGCCAATCCATCCATCCATCCATCGCATCCATCCATCCATCCATTCCTCATCATCCCATCCATTCCATCCATCCATCCATGCCATCCATCCATCCATCATCCCATCCATCCACCATCCATCCATCCATCCATCCATACATCCACCATTCCATCCATCCATACCATCCACTCATACCCATCATCCATCCATCCATCCATATATCCTCTATCCAATGCTACATCAATCCATCCCATCCATCCATCCATCCATCATCTATTACATGCCATCCATCCATCCACATTCATCGCATCCATCCATCACCATTCAATCCATACCATCCATCCATTCCATCATCATCCATCCATCCATCCATCCATCCATCCATCCATCCAATCCATCCATTCAATCCATCCACCATCCATCTCCATTCCATCATCCATCATATCAATCCATCATCCATCCCATCCCATCGCTATCCATCCATCTACCTTCCAGTCACCATCCAACCATCATCACCAATCATCATTATCATCCATCACATCCCATCCTTGCATCCATTCATCCATCTATCCAATCCATCCATCCTCCACATCCATCATCCATCCATCCATCATCCATCCATCATCCATGCCAGGTCCATCAATCCATATCCATCCACCCAATCCCATCGGATATTTATACACAAAGATATGAACAATACGCATGTAAGGCTTCCTTTCATGAATTTCAACAAATAATTCTTTTCTGTGCACTCCCACGCAAATGAGAACGTATTAGTGATAAGAATATACGTAACCACCGTTATGATGCGGCAGTACCGGATAGATGCAACCATGATCTAGAGCGTACTCCATATACGACACCAAACTATATCTGACCAACATACGAGCAGATCCGTTCATCTCCATGCCAGGCTTTGCTTACACGATAATCCTTTTACTGCTTGAAGGCTATTGAACAAACTGGTCCTGTTCTGTAGTTCCAG